CATCTTCATTACTGCCATCAGCGATTTTTTCTGTAGTTATTCAAAAACATAATGATGAAATCCATATCATGTGCAAAGTACTTTATATGCGTGCGCACTGATGAAGTATATACATATATTGTACATATCACATGACCACGTACTATTCGTCTCCCAACAAAGTGCATGGTTATTAGAGAGGTTGGAGTTTACTTGTTCTCACGAAGAAAAGAATGAGGTGCTATTTATACTCCTTTTGAAATGAAGTAGCTAAAGTTTTCATATTACCAATTGATTAAATCACAGACCTGGATGTTTGTGGGTGAAGGTATCCCATATGCTTGGGCCTCTTCCATCTTCTTTTACTGCACCTTCATACTGAAATATACACACATGCATATACGTAAGAGTACTACTACACACGCAAGGAAGATGTCAACATTATAATTCCTGCATGGATGCTAACAGCATGTATAAAATACACCAAAAATATGGTAAATAATCCCAAAAGAAATATATAAATGTGTGTGTGTGTGTAAAATACATATATATACAGACCTGGTAAGCTGCGGAACCTGTGCCAAATATAAACCCTGGTTCAAAACTGCTACGATTGAGAAATTCGCAATGAACAGGTCGATCTGTATTAGTTGCTTTGCTATATGTCAATGCAAAGCCAATGAGTAGCATCACACCAAAGAGCAAAGATCGTGAATATTTCATTGCCATAACTTGGGTGTTCTGATATCGATCGAGATAATTAAGTTATCTCCTCCTGGAATATTGCATGGCGTTTATATAGGGAAAGGGAGGAAGGGATATGGTGTCTACGTACTAGCTCATGAGAATAGTAAAGGGTTAAAAATTGTAAACAAAATTGACTTTTAAAGCCCTAATTTAAAGACCAAGTCATGGTCTGTAGTTTAAAAGAAAGCACGTTTCATGTACCCAAAAGTTGCGTACGTACGTAAAAGAATGGATAATCCTTGCGTTCCACCTATGAGGAATGCACATGCTCTTCAAATTTTATATTGTGATCCTGCAGTTCCTTAATCTTTATTTGAAGATCATCTAAACAAAAATAATTATTTGAATTTGAGATCGTTTAGTCATTTAAATATATGAACCCAATCGATAGTGTTGATACTAAGTAAAAGATTTATAATGAACTATTCATTTTATTGACATATTTGGATAACTACACAGTCTTCAATTTGAACAGTTTTTTGCATATATGATATTCAAATTAAGATTAAAAAATCAATAACTTATACTATCTATATGAAAATACATTATTTATAAAAACAAATTATTCCTTGAGTTGAAAAGTAAGATAATGTAGACAACTGTACGATCAATCTCATTTTAATTTGCAATGATCAATCCTTGAGTTACCCTTGAGTTTTCCGGCAAAAGAAAATGTTAACAGCATTAGGAAACAAAGAGCCATTTATCTGCATGTTTATATGATGTATGTCCAAATGTTGAAGGCATAACTTTTGAAGTTGAATATGGAAGATTAGCAATAGAGACTTGTTCAAACAGTAGAAAATTACTTGAGCCAACAAAAAAACAGAAATTTATGACCACATTTCTTTACGTAAGTAGTAAGCGATAAAGATGAAGAATTTAATCTTGATCTTTTTCTTCTTGTTAGAGTTTTAGTATTGAATTGGTAAACCCAGTGGTTTTTTGAAATTGTCTTTCCACTCTAATTAAGAAGGCATCGAAACAGCTAGGTACTCAAGTTGGCTATTTTGCTCCTAAAGATTGTGAAAGGATTCCATTGGGGTGGTTTTTTCGAAGGTTTGGACACCCTTCAAAGTATAGTAGTTACACATTCTTCTTGCTGGTACAAGAATGAGAATAGTAAAGGGTTAAAATTTGTAAACAAAATTGGCTTTGAAAGTCCTAGTTTAAAGTCCAAGTCATGGTCTGTAATTTAAAAGAAAGCACGTTTCATGTACCCAATAGTTGTCTACGTGCGTAAAAGAATGGATAATCCTTGCGTTCCACCTATGAGGAATGCACATATTCTACAAATTTTATATTGTGATCGTTTAGTTTCTTAATTTTTATTTGAACATCATTTATACTACAAAAATACATTATTTATAAAAAAAATTATTCCTTGAGTTGAAAAGTAAGATAATGTACACAACAGTTCGATCGATCTCATCTTAATTTGAAATGATCAATCCTTGAATACTCTTGAGTTTTCCAGCGAAAGAAAATGTTTTCTGGATTAGGAAACAAAGAGTCATTTATCTGCATGTTTATATTATGCCTGTCCAACTGTTGATGGGCAAAACTCTTGAAGTTGAATATGGGCGATTAACTACAGAGACTTATTCAAACAGTAGACAATTATTTGACCCAACAAAAAAGTAGAAATTTATGACCAGAATTCTTTACGTAAGTACAGAATCGATAAGGATGAAGAATTAATTAATCTTGATCTTTTTCTCCTTGTTAGAGTTTTAATATTGAATCCGTAAACCCAATGGTTTTGTGAAATTGTATTTCCACGCTAATTAAGAAGGCATCGAAATAGCTAGGTTCTCAAATAGGCTATTTCGCTCCTAAAGATTGTGAAAGGATACCATTGGGGTGGCTTCTTCTTGGTAGTACAAGAAATTGATTAGTGTTTCAAGAGACTGGTTTTTATTAGCTTACATCTATTTATTTTGATTTAATATTTTTCATTTATATATATTTTTACAATTCAAAAACACAAAAGTTTGACCCCTCTGTAATTTTTCTAATTTTTTTCTTTATTTGAATTTTTGGGACTTATATTGAATTTTAGTGTGTCTCACAACCTGATGGAATTGGGAGGGAGGGTCATTTCATTTTTGGATATAGAACAAATAGGTTCAGGATATGAGAGAATTAAGGATACCCACCAGAAGGACTAATCCAAACCATAATGATGTGCCGGAAAATAGAACATTTTTGTTACCCGACCAACCCTTAGGAGAAGCAAATGCAACATGTACACTAATCAGTAAGATTAAAGAAGTAGCAATTAATGCAAAAACAGCCAATAGGGAAGCAATATTCATGTTCGTAATCCTCCAATCTACCAACAAAAGAATTATACCAATTGATCCCTTTATCAACCAAAAAATTGTACACCTTATATACTGCTTTTGGGCAACCCTCTCAACAACTAAGAGATCCATTCGAGGAACAAAGGGACTAGTTGAAGTATGGATCCTCCCAATATTGGGAGGATTCGTACTTCAATTGAGATGATAACAAATCATTTCACCTTTTTAGTTGTAACATTAGGCAGTTCTCGAAAAAAGATAGCGAAAAATATTATTCCTAGAATTGAGACTAAAAGGAATGTATAAACCAATGCTTCCATAGATTCGATCGTGGTTTACAATTATAGCTTCTATACCTGTTTATTTGGGATCGCCTTTCGGATAAATAAAGAACAAGAGTCAAAGAAAAGGCAGTGATTCAAATCAAGATTTATCTGGTACCCCATCTAAAAATCACAAAAAGAAAATAAAAAGTAACAAGTAACAATGCATATTGTATCAGACTACTTGTCTTCTTGTAGTTGGATCTCCAAGTTTTTGGAATGCTCCAAACTCTGGTTGAGCATCTAAATCTGGATCAATACCAGCAAAAACATCTCGAAACAAGGTTCTAGCTCCATGCCAAATGGATTTATTTTTTGTCCCATAATCCCCCACTACTATATATATCGTGAAACATGTCATCTGTTGGTATTTTTTTTTTTTAAGTCATTCGTTTTTTTTTTTTTAAGCATAACATAATATAGCATATTTGTATTTTTTTTTTATAATATAAGATATTCTTCCTTTAAGCATCCTGAGCTCTAATTTATAGATTTCCCTTGATCTATTTCTTCCACTTCATCGAAAGATATATCTTTCAATACAATAGTTATATGACAAGTGGATCTTACCTTTGTCTAGTGTACTACCACCAGATATTATGGAGGAATCCACGGAAGATGTTTGTTTACAATCTAAAACTGTTGGACCAAATGATGAGGAGAAGAATGAGACTATTCCATACATAAGAAAAGATGATAAGAAGGGAAAAAAAGAGAGTAGCTGACTAGGGTGAATTGAGAAGAAATAAGTCTGATAATAAAGGAAAAAAGTTTTGGTCGAGATGACATGTCATATATGACAACTACAGATACATAAAAACAAATATAGATGTGTACTTGATGTCATAAATGCTAATTATATTATATATTTACCCGCTTAACTTTCTGTTTGCAGGAATCAATAAAAAATTTTAATGTCTTTTCACAAGACGAATGAGGCAAACAATATGAAAATTGAGCAAGACTTTCTTTTTGTAGATTTTTCACAAATGGAAAATTGGAGGTGCGGAGAATGCACATGATATTTTGGCGTTGTGCAACACGAGGAAAAAATTGGAAGGATTTTTTTGTTTTGTTTTTGTGGCAAATTTTGTGCACTCTAGAAATTTGAAGTGCAGGTTGCACCATTTTCTTTTTGAATTGTACTATCTTAAGTTAAAATAACTTGTAGTTGTGTTCATATGCTATTAGAAAAATGGAGACAATACTCTTATTGATTATTAATTCATCTTCTTTATGTTATACTACAAAATGATGTACACACATAGCATAAGAATAAAACCTAACAATCTGTTTGGATGAAAATAATTTATATTACTAAAGAATTTTAAAATGATGGAAATTGAAATGAAAAAATTTTATTATCTAGAAATTGTGAATTTGCTTGTTTGATTAACCTAAAAGAACAATAGAATTGAATACAGAATTTGTTATTTTTAAACTCTCATTTATAGAAATATGAAAATAATATCTATTTACATGAAACTAAATTTAGGAATTGAAGGTACCAAATTCTAAGTTTTTTTTTCCATGCCAAAATTCTAAATTTATATGTCCTCCTCTAAATATAAGGCTGGCTTGGGATTGCTTAATTTTTTTTTAAAAAAAAGTTGGAACCATAAATTGTGTTTGGTTAGAAAAAAGAGTTTTTTTTTTTTTCTTCAATTGTGGATCAAAAACAATAGAAAGCAAAAGCAGGTTAGACTCTAAAGGAGCACTTTTTTTCATAGCAGCGCGTAAAAATTGTCAATTAATGAAATATTTATGCTGACAATACTATCCTTTTCTCCTATGCTTCGTTCAATTTCCACCTTTCCCTATTTCTCTCGCGCTCTCTCCTCTCCCTCTCATCTAGTTCGGGCACAGACCCATCTATCCTCTTCATCTCCTCTGGTTCAAGCACTCTTCACCAACAACAGGTGAGTTTTCTTTCGTTTCAATTTCTAATTTGCTTATTTTGACAATTTATTGTTGGAATATTGAAATATTGAACTGATTCAACTATAAGTCATTTTCTTCATTTTTCTGCAATTGATTTTTGTTCCAAAATGATTGAAATTTGCTGATTAATTTGGTTAAATTCTATTTTTAATTAATTTCTGGGACTTGAGGTGGATTAATTTCTTTGGTTAATTTGGTTAGAATCGTTTTTTCCCGTATAATTAGTTGATTAGTTGTAATTTACTTCGGTTATTAGTTTTGGATGATACTGGAAGATTTGATTGCTATTAAATTAAATTTACACAGACATGGATACTCTCTTTCATGTGGTATCATCCAAAACATGTCTGCAACATAAATTTACACCTGCATGTGGATTGTGAGCTTTTCAATAATAGTTTTTTTATTTGGACCAAAAGATAAAAGAATAGTATGAGTCGCATGAAATGGAAGATTGCAGAATCATAGTAAGCATATGATTTTGAGCAGGCAATGAACATTTCAGAGCCTTATCTCTAGCTCATAATTACAATTATGCTATGTAAGTCTTGATGATGTTGTGGTTTTTTTTGCTTTATTGCGTGACTTGTTGTGGTCTCCATTCCAGATCTATATGCACCATATAGCTTCTGATGTTGTTGTGGTCTCCACTGAACTTTGTGTCTTGTTTTGCTCTATTATTAAAATTCAAAGTTTTCATGCCATTTTCATTAGTTTTCTTTTAATATTATATATATAAGGATGGCAAAAAAGTGGGAACTTCAGCAAGAGCTCCACATGGTACATGCAATGATCATAATATATCCGTATTCAGTGAGTTGTGCATCAAGGATGTTGAGGTCGGACGTCGTCTTGGCCCTCACTTTAACAAAGAAAGATCGGCAAATTTCATAGAAAACTTTAGGAAAGAAACAGGAAATTATTATAGTAAAGCGCAATTGAAAAATAAGTGAGATAGACCAAAAAAGGATTGGTAGTTGTGCAAAAAACTAATTGGGAAAGAAACTGGCCTAGAGTGGCAACCGGAAAACTCTTTCAACGGTGAAAGTAGCAACCGGAAAAGTTAAAGTGATTGTCGCATCTATCACGTGGGTTTGCTGTCACATCCCGCCTCGGGGTCCACCACATCCTGGGCCCGCTCCACCACTATAGCACGATATTGTCCGCTTTAGGCCCCGACCACGCCCTCATGGTTTTGTTTCTGGGAACTCACACGAGAACTTCTCAGTGGGTCACCCATCATTGGAGTGCTTCCGCACGCTACTCGCTTAACTTCGGAGTTCCCATGGAATTCGAAACCAGTGAGCTCCCAAAAGGCCTCGTGCTAGGTAGAGATGAGAATATACATATAAGGATTACTCCCCTAGGCGATGTGGGATCTTACAATCCACCCCCCTTAAGGGCCCGACGTCCTTGTCGGCACACCACGGCCTGGGTTAGGCTCTGATAACAAATTGCCACATCTCGGCCCAAGGTCCACCACATCCCAAGCCCACTCCACCACTGTAGAATGATATTGTCTGCTTTAGGCCCCGACCACGCCCTCATGATTTTGTTTCTGGGAACTCACATGAGAACTTCCCAGTGGGTCACCCATCATGGAAGTGCTCTCGTGCGCTACTCGCTTAACTTCAGAGTTCCTATGGAACCTGAAGCCAGTGAGCTCCCAAAATGCCTCGTGCTAGGTAGATATGAGAATATACATATAAGGATCACTCCCCTGGGCGATGTGGGATCTTACAATGAGCTGTCACTAGGCATATTCTCTGAAACCCTGGGCGATGTGGGATCTTACAATGAGCTCTCACTAGGCATATTCTCTGAATCTTCAATCCTCAACAAAATCTCATATAATTCTTGATAAGTGTCGCAAAGAGTAGTGGTCGCCATAGAACGCCACTTCTTCCTAGTACCCAATCTGAAACGACGAAGCATCTCAACCGGATTAGCAGCAACATCCGGATGATAACGAGACAAATCAGTGAATCTCCTGTAATACTCATTCGCCATCAACTTCCCCTGTTTCAATTGAGTAAATTACTGCTTCTTGCGATCAATATACTAAGGGGGAACAAACCTTTTTCCTAAACAACCGTTTAAACACTTCCCAGTCAGCAATTTCCTCTGGGGTCAAATGATAAATCTCATGTTCCCACCAGGATGCTGATTCTTTATCTAAGAGCCATGTAGTCATCTCTACCCACCTTTCAGAATAAAGATTCCCTTAACTTTGCACATCGCCCAGGGGAGTAATCCTTATATGTATATTCCCATCTTTACCTAGCACGAGGCCTTTTGGGAACTCATTGGCTTCGGGTTCCATGGGAACTCCGAAGTTAAGCGAGTAATGCGCGAGAGCACTCCCATGATGGGTGACCTATTGGGAAGTTCTCGTGTGAGTTCCCAGAAATCAAACCGTGAAGGCGTGGTCGGTGCCCAAAGTGGACAAGATCGTGCTATGGTGGTGGAACGGGCCCGGTATGTGGTGGACCCTGAGCTGAGATGTGACAATTTGGTATCAGAGCTTAACCCTGACCGTATTGTGCTGATGAGGATGTCGGGCCCCTAAGGGGGTGGATTGTAAGATCCCACATCGCCAAGGGGAGTGATCCTTATATGTATATTCCCATCTCTACCTAGCACGAGGCCTTTTGGGAGCTCATAAACCTGCACCCCGGTGTTAGTGCTTCTGCCCAGAGTTAGGGCACAGTCCTTCACGTGATGTTCACCTCCTGCACTATACGCTCATCTTGGATCCAAGTTAAGTGCATAGTCCTGTCGTACAGACCAATATAGGTGGTTCCGACTCGTAGCTGACCCGCTTCACGTGATCGTAACACTTAAGCGTATTTATTTACACCCAGTCCTGTCGTACAAACCACTTTAGGTGGTTCTGACTTGTGTGCAGGTATAGTTGTTGAGATGTGGTTGATCTCTAGATTCAGCCATACAGGTCACGTTAAATGGCTCCGGCTGACATATCATATGCATTGATTGATATCACCTGGTTTACTTATATTTTATGCTGAGATATTTGACATGGCATATTTGTGGATTTTGCTATTTCAAGTATGGTTTCGATATATGTATATATTCTATTTTCTGGGAAATTATACAAGTTTTACGGAGAGGGGTTAGAAATTTTGAGAATGAAATGATTTTGAAAAGCTTTGTTTTTGCCCACTCACACTTTCTGTTTTGCGCCCCTCCAGGTTTTAGGTAGAAGTGCTTTGGTCGCTCACGAGGATCTTAACGGTGGTTCTGACAAAACAACACAAATGTAGGATCACCTTTGGGTGTTGTATAATTAGTATTCGTCCTACTGGACTGCACTTAGGCTACTTATACTCTGATTGTGTTTATCACACTTAATCTTGCATTATAATGTTATCTTAGCTAGTATTGCTAGTAGTTTGGTTTTTATTTATTCACATTTTTATTATTATTTATGCTTCCGCACTGTGCACATGGTTACATCATCCTCACGTGACGGCCAGTATGCCTTGATTCCGGTCAGGGTGTGTCATTTGCTATATCCAATATGAACATTTTTTTCATCTAAGAGAGAAAAAAAAAAAAAAAAAAAAAAAAAAAAAAAAAAAAAACTGAGTGGGGGCCATCCACCCCCAGGTTTTGTCCTTGCTCAAGTAGTATTTGATAAACTTTATAGCCCAACATGGTTTTGTCCACCACCACCATTGATATTGTCCCCAATTTAACTACATCGCTATGTATGAGTATAATCCTAAAGGGCCTCATTGATATTATGGGTGAAAATTTTCATATATAAATTATATAATTTTTTGTTCAATGCCCGATGTGAGATTTTATTCTCCAACATGCCTTATCATGAGTTGCGCTACATGGGGCTGATTCAATCAAACGAATTATATAATTTTTTGTTAAATGCCCAATGTGAGATTCTATTCTCCAACAAGCAATCAAACGAATTCCGAGATAGGAAAACATCATGCTTTATCTAAACTGTACAAAAAAGGACATCATAACTCCAAAGCACCTATGATCGCAAACAAAATTTCATAGTAGATCCAATAAACTCAACCTGCTTACTCTAACACTCTAATTAATAACCAGGTTGACCCCATAAATGATCAAACTCGCACATGTCTGTAAGACTTGAATACATATATGTTATTATTTTTATTTAGTTATCCTTAATGAAATTTGTACGGATGGCAAAGTACTGCACCAACAGTGGAACATGTCAAATTCCAAGGTTGGAGACAACTAGCCTCGTATAACTAGAGCATGAATGTAAAGAATACCACAAGGTTCATGCCAAGAAGCTACAAATTACATGCTTGAGAAGCTAAAAATATTTTGACTTGAACAACAAGTTGTCCACATTAACGAGCTAATACCTGTCAACAAGCTCAAAATATGACAACAACTCTTAAAGAATAAATCATTATACCACAAACGCCTGAATAATATTTTATTTCATTTTAAATTGTTATATGACCTTGCATATTTTTAGTATTGTGTACAATTATTATTATATCGAGCAAGTTTTTTAACATTAATATTTTACTCAAATTAGAACCGAAAATTTTCTCTTAGACCATCTCCAACCTTGGGCTAAAACCTAAAATTTTTAACCCATAAATAGTTTTTCTTCTTCAACCATTTTGGGTTAAATTTTTTGTGACATCCCGTCCCGAAACTATCAAACCGTACATGTAAATTTACCGTTTTACCCCTAAATTGTCTTATTACGTTTTTGGTGTTTTGTGTGGTGTGGACATGAGTGGGGCCACACACACACATCCACATCTGCTTCCTCTCTCTCTCCCTCTGACTTTCCTCTCTCTCTCTCTCTCTCTCTCTCTTTCTCCCCCCCCCCCCGAGTCCACTATTCTTCTTCTTCTTCTTCAAATTGGTACGGACACACACACACTCACCATATTCCACACAGATCGAGGAAACCAAGGGTGTAGTTGTGATCGTGAAGTCGAGGGGAGCACGGTGGTACCATTTTCAGGTAGGGAAACAACCACTTTCACGTTGATTCGAAGTTTTCCGTTTTGAACACTGTTCATGCAAACTTAATCTAGCATGTTTTTGGACATTCTAAGCTTGTAGATGTGTTAGTGAGGCCTCAAGGAGCTTGGGAATGCTTCGTTGGGTGAATTTGGACGTCGGGAAAGCTTAGTTCCAAAGTTGGCCGAACTTAGATCGTTGTTGCAGGTGAGATTCCTTGATTTTTAGGCCTTAAAAGTAGTCTAACGTGATTCTACTAGTCCTAAGCTTCATTTTGGTATAAAGAACGTGAAAAATGGTTGAAAAACGAGTGAGAAAACAAAGTTTGAAAAATTTCCAGTTTTCCGGCGACGGCGGCGCAGACGGCGACGGCGGCGCAGACGGCGACGGCGGCGGCTCGCCGGAGAGGACAGGGGAATATTCCGTTAAGTTTTAACGGAATATTCCTACAGGACTAACGGCGTCAGTTAGGGAATATTCCGTCAGTCAAACGGAATATTCCGTCAGTCAAACGGCACGTGGCCGCGCGTGGGGGCGCGTGGACCCGTGCCATTCCAGGCGCGTGGGGGCGCGTGACGTGTCCAAAAATTATTTTAAAAATATGGTTGTGATCGTGAGGTTGTGTAGGTCACGTTGGTATATTCATTTGTCCATTTTGAGCAATGTATGAGAAGTTATTTTGAACGGACGGTTATGTGCTTTAAAGTTAACGTTTTTGTAGTTAATTCGCATATAGGTGACACGTATCCCGAGGACGAGCGTGCACATTCGAGGCAGGGGGGCTACGACCCTTCTACTTACCAGTGAGTGGGCTTTTGTTTTCCGTATATACCTATATACATGTTATTTCCCAGAAATTAGTATAAATACCTTGTTTTACGCCGTAATTTTATATGATTGATGACTATGCATGATTAGTGGCATATGAGTTGGTTTATATATTTATTCTTACGTCATTTACATATATGTTGGTGCTGCGGCGGCCTAGGTAAGTGCCAGGTAAGCGTTGTTTTACATTCGCATTAAATAGTGGTTCGAGGTGCTTAGAGAGCTCATAACCTGCACCCCCGATGTTAGTGCTCCCGCCCAGAGTAGGGCACAGTCTTTCACGTGTTGTTCACCTCCCGCACCACACGCTCAGCTTGAATCCAAGTTAGGTGCACAGTCCTGTCGTACAGACCACTATAGGTGGTTCCGACTCGTAGGTGACCCGCGATTATTCGCACAGCCTTCACGTGATCGTAGCACTAGAGCGTTATATGTTTTACACCCAGGCTTGTCGTACAGACCACTATAGGTGGTTCCGACTCGTGGGCAGGTTTAGGGAATGAGTGGTAAATTGAGCTCTAGGTTCAGCCGTACAGGTCACTTAGGGGACTCCGGCTGTCATTTTATTATTCTATTGATGTGCTATACATACCTGAGCATTTGCATGTATGATTGGGGCCTTGAGCATGTTGGCATACCCTTGATTATACTTGGCATACTTATACCTACGTTTTTATGTTTATTTTTTGGGAAGTATACAGGTTTTACGGCGAGGGGTTATATTATGTTTTATGAAATGGTTTTCTAAGAGATTTGTTTTGCCCACTCACGCTTTTGTTTTTGCGCCCCTCCAGGTTCTAGTAGCTTAGCGGGTTCGGTGGTTTCCCCAGGGACGTTCCGGCATTCTGACAGACCTTCACCTATGTAGGGTCGCCTACAGGCGCACTATTGTCGTAACATTTATTTTTCGGGCTGCTGTATGCCTTAGGCTCTGAATCCAGTGTTTTAATTGCACTAGCACATATCCTATTACTCTATAGTTGCTAGTTTCAAATTTTTTTCGCACTTTTCTATTACTGTTTCTAGCTTCCGCACCGTGCACATGGCTACGTCACTTCCACGTGGTGGCCAGCATGCCCCGATCTCGGTTGGGGTGTGTCATTTTTAGCCTGAGATTATTAAAGAATGAATTTAGGATAATTTTTTTTCTTAAAGTAACTTTGGGAAGAAAAAAAATTATGTATACTATCCTAATTTAATTTTATGGACATTTTAACTTAAAAATATTTAGATTCCGATAAATATTGAAAAATTACTAAACCGACACTATGAAACTTGTGGAACACTACAAAAGAATATGAAACACATAAAAAAAAATTTAATTACTTTAGCCGTTGGATTTAAATTTGGATCATTAAATATTTTTTTTTTTACCGTCGAATTTGATCAAATTAGATTTGAACTATTGAATTCAATGAATTTATAAATATAAAACTAAAAAAATATGCATAGATGGTGGATCAGCCTCACTAACCTAAGAGGAATCCTGACCTAAATTTGCCTCATAAATGAGTTTTGATTTTGAACTCATATTTGCCTCAAGAGTTGGAGCAAGTTCGGGTAAGTTTAGAACCTAAAATTTAAGTTTTACTCTAAGGGTTGAAGTGGGTAAAGTTTTAAGGTGGTCATCATTTTGCTAAATGCAACAAAGTTTATTTTTATTTTTATTTTCATTAATAAGGGAACTAGCTAGTGGCTTTGCCATGACAATTCACCATTTTGGGATTTGAAAAACTCATAGAGATATTTCAGCCCCCTCTAACCATCATCATATAACTCATCAGTACTAAAAATCGAAACCAAAACATATCGGGTAAAATATGAACTTAAAACTCGTTTCCAACTACTAGTGCCACCGCTCGGTGATGCAAATAATGCAAAGTTGACCGAAGTTGATTTTGGATTTTGTGTTGGGTGGTTGGTTGGTTGATTTATCAAATTAAGGCAAAAAATAAGAAAAAGAAAATAAAGGAAAACTGATAACGGATCTCTTGTATGAGTTTAGCGCGAGCCTGTGAGCACTGATCTCTGCTCTGCCTGAGAGACAAGTTTCGCAAATCTGATGATGGCGTTTCGTTAGAATCGTCAACCGAAGAAACGCAGGCCTCCAACGATCACTAAAAACCTTCCCCAATTGTAAACCCTAGCGACTCTGGTTCCCTCTCAGTGCTGCAATGGTGGTCTGCAAATGCCGCAAGGTATCTCTCTCTCCTCTTCTCTCTCACACGATAACTGGTGTCGTAGAATTTTACTGTATCATTTCCCGATTCAATTCACAGAGAAATGCGTGATTTGGTAGCTCAAATTTTAGATCGGATCGGATTTCTAATGTTGGAACGAATGCGATCCATAAGATTGTGAATTGGTTTTAGTATCGGCATTTGACTTGTAGTTTGGGAATTTTCAGATTTGTCGTTCAAGTTCATGATTGTGATCCAATTCTCGAAATCCTAGTTCCTATACCTTCTTGTGGTTTTTATTTATTTTCGTTGATTGATTTCCAAGGCTGATGGAGATTGGGGATTTTGGTGTTTCAGGCTACTAAGCTGTATTGTTTCGTGCACAAGGTTCCGGTTTGCGGAGAATGTATCTGTTCTC